TACTTAGCATCTTCTGTATTGAACATTCCACAAGCGCAATGGATTATCAGCCCATTGGCGGATCTATGGGGTGGGAGGTGGGCAGTTAAAAGTGCTGTGCTGGGTATTTGGAGCCAGTGGTATCTGCCACATTCACTCCTGGACTCTGCCTGGGCCTCTCCCTTCAGGGGCCTTCTGCTAGAGACCAGATCCTCACAGGCACCTAACTCCCCCTGACTTGGGTGGCAAGGACACTGACCTGTCTCCTAACCCCTTCTCCGCAGCGCTTGTCCCTCCTGAGTCACCTGCCCTGAAGTCTTTGAGGAAACAGAGCCTTGAGCTAGACATTTTGGCAAATGGATTAAAAACCATGGGAGAGGGCAAGGCAAAGGAATCCCAAACCCACCACACAGCAAACAGCATAGGGGCAGGCCATGTGGAACAACGAGCAGGGGTCAGGAGGGCAGTTTTTCCCACCCATGTATTCTGGGAGGGTTTTTTTTTTAAATCTCCTTCCTCTGAAGCATCAGTGATGGCCATGGCTGGAGATGGGAAATTGGCTGGGGTGTACCAGGGCTCTGAGATGGCAACATTCATTCTCTCACTCAGGGGCTGGGCTGGCTGGTTTTGGTTCAGATGCTCAGGGTCTAACTGATAGCCTCACGGGGGAGAAAAGAATTTTCCCCAAAGTCAGATTGATATGGACCTCGGGGGTTTTCCACCTTCCTCTATAGCATGTGGGTGCGAGTCACTTGCCAGGATTATCTGGGTCTCTCTCACTTAATCGTTTTCCTGCCAGTGGTGTCTAGTTGGCATTTCCCCAATGTCACCATCCAGTGATTTCCTCTATGTCTAGTTGGCAGCTGGTATCAAGCAGAGTGCCCCAGGGGGTCTGTGCTGGGGCCGGTTTTGTTCAATATCTTCATTAATGATCTAGAGGATGGTGTGGACTGCACCCTCAGCAAGTTTGCAGATGACACTAAACTGGGAGGAGTGGTAGATACGCTGGAGGGTAGGGATAGGCTACAGAGGGACCTACACAAATTAGAGGATTTGGCCAAAAGAAATCTGATGAGGTTCAACAAGGACAAGTGCAGAGTCCTGCACTTAGGAACAAAGAGTCCCAATCACTGCTACAGACTAGGGACCGAATGGCTAGGCAGCAGTTCTGTAGAAAAGGACCTAGGGGTTACAGTGGACGAGAAGCTGGATATGAGTCAACAGTGTGCCCTTGTTGCCAAGAAGGCTAACCGCATTTTGCGTTGTATAAGTAGGGGCATTGCCAGCAGATCGAGGGACGTGATCATTCCCCTCTATTCGACATTGCTGAGGCCTCATCTGGAGTACTGCGTCCAGTTTTGGGCCCCACACTACGAGACGGCCGTGGAAAAATTGGAAAGAGTCCAGCGGAGGGCAACAAAAATGATTAGGGGTCTGGAGCACATGACTTATGGGGAGAGGCTGAGGGAACTGGGTTTGTTTAGTCTGCAGAAGAGAAGAATGAGGGGGGATTTGATAGCTGTTTTCAACTACCTGGTGGTGATGAAGCACTGGAATGGGTTACCTAGGGAGGTGGAATCTCCTTCCTTAGAGGTTTTTAAGGTCAGGCTTAACAAAGCCCTGGCCGGGATGATTTAGTTGGGGATTGGTCCTGTTTTGAGCAGAGGGTTGGACTAGATGACCTCCTGAGGTCCCTTCCATAGTCTATGATTCAATGACCGACTAGCTAAGTGGCAGTTCTGCAGAAAAGGACCTGGGGGTTACAGTGGACAAGAAGCTGGATATGAGTCAACAGTGAGCCCTTGTTGCCAAGAAGGCTAATGGCATGTTGGACTGCATTAGTACAAGCATTGCCAGCAGATCAAGGGAAGTGATTATTTGCACTGGTGGGACCACATCTGGAATACTGCATCCTGTTTTCGGCCTCCCCACTACAGAAAGAATGTGGACAAATTGGAGAAAGTTCAGCGGAGGGCAACAAAAATGATTAGTGGGGTAGGGCACATGACTTATGAGGAGAGGCTGAGGGAACTGGGCTTATTTAGTCTTATTTAGTTTGCAGAAGAGAAGAGTGAGGGGGGATTTGATAGCAGCCTTCAACTACCTGAAGGGGGGTTCCAAAGAAGGGGGAGCTGGCTGTTCTCAGTGGTGGTAGATGACAGAACAAGGAGCAATAGTCTCAAGTGTGGGAGGTCTAGATTGGATATTAGGAAACACCATTTCACTAGGAGGGTGGTGAAGCACTGGAATGGGTTACCTAGGGAGGTGGTGGAATCTCCATCCTTAGAGGTTTTTAAGGCCTGGCTTGACAAAGCCCTGGCTGAGATGATTTAGTTGGGGATTGGTCCTGCTTTGAGCAGGGCTTTGGACTAGATGACCTCCTGAGGTCTCTTCCATCCCTAATTTTCTATGATTCTATCATTCAGTGAGGGGGCCTCGAGCATGGGTGCACCTCAGTCCCTCCCAGTTTCTCCCATGGCATGTAATAGTATAGGCTCCTGAGGGGCTATAATACTTTGGTCGCATTTCAGGTGTTGGGTTTAGTGTGCGAGTGCTTGGTGGAGCTGGTGGCCTGTGAGGTACAAGAGGTCAGATGAGATGAGCTGGTAGTCCCTTGGGAGGATTCAGGGAAGAAGCTAGTTTCCGGCAAGATGAGAACCTGATGTCCTCTCTTGGAACCATTAGGGTGGGATACTCGGGTCCGGGAGGCCAGGATCGACCTTGAGCCTTAACGTACCTGTCTATTGAGACATTGCTGCATTCCCAGGCTAGCAAGTGGCTTGTCACACTGAAGGGGCTGCCTGTCTGCAGCACATCAGCCAGCTCATTATTTTTTAATGTATTTATCTGTGAGCGCATTGGCAGCCACAGTTCTCAGAATTGGCTGTGGCTGTTCATGTGCACCTCAGTTCAACTCTTTGTTCGGAGAAGCCTGTGAATTATTAAATCAGCTGCATTTAGCACACAGCCAGATGGAATTGCTGTGTCGTTTTAATGTGGCATTGGGGCCAGGAGAGGTTTGGCCTCCTGAGTTCCACGACATTTGTCACAGCAGAACGAGAGCCTTTAGTCCTGCTACGTGAGAGCAGGGTGGGGTACTTGCAATTTTGCTCCCATGTTTTATGGCCAGTGTACAAGTGTATAGCTTATTTGGCACCTTCCCTAGGAGGAAAAGAGTTGGTGGGGGTGGGGGTAAGCAGTACCCTACTGCAAAACTTCCCACACAGCTTCTTTCTGTAGCGAACTCCCCACTAGAGCCTTTGGAGGACAGGTACATCTCACTGCAGCCAGAGGTGGGTAGACCTAGGCACACTAGCTTTGAGCAAGCTTGTGTCTAAAATAGCAGCGTGGCCATGGTGGTGCGAGGGGCTAGCCCCCTGGGTCCATGCCTCGGATCCCAGGTGGGCCTGTATGCGGAACAGCTAGACCAGCTCACTGCTTGCAATACCGTGGCTACTAGGATATTTTTAGCACACTAAATCTATCAAAGCTATCACGGGTATGACTGCCCGAGCTGGCAGTTACACCTCCAGCTCCAGCCCAGACAAACCCAAAGAGACAGAGGGAGGGATACATGTTCCCCATCTAACTCTTGCCCCAGCACCTGAGAAATGCAGCAGCTCTGTTGCTCTGTTGCTGCCAGGGACTGTTGTGGGACAGCAGCATCTCCCAGCTAAAAAAAATCATCTCCCTGCCTTGTCTGAGAAATAGTTCCCACTGAAATCAACTAATAGGCGCTGCCATAATAGTGATGCAAAGAACTTCCATCCAAGGGGATTGAGAGTCTCCACCATGGCACTTTCTTCACATGACATGAGCGATCCGGGCTTCAGACTTGGGTGTGCTGCGTGGTAACACACGATGCCCATGCCCAGCTCACTTCAATAGCTGAATGTGAGGTCCACTGGGAGCTGCCCAGTGACTGAGCCTATTAAGAATCCAGTGCTACAAACCATTGAGTAGGCGTGGGAGAGCCGCTGCATTTCAGAGCGTTCTATTGATTTAACCATTTCAGTCTCTGGCCTAATTAGCCTCAAGCTAGTGCAGGCAAGGAGTTACCTACAGCCATCACATGGGAAACAATTACTAATTAATTATTCCCAGGGAGCGCACCAAAGGTGTCCCCTCCCTCAGCAATGGCAGTGAAACTCGGTCAGTGAACATTTTCCACCTGCCACAGCCTCTTGTCTCTGGTAACTGAAAAGTTCCTCCTCCATTTGCACTGCTTAGAGCTGAAACTGAAGTCCAGCCTGCTGGCTTCATTTAGGAAAAGTGGTGCCCCAGCGGGCTGGGGACAGATCATCTGTGGACGGGCTGGAGATAAATACACCACTAAGACCTGCCATTCAAAGGCAGCCCAGGCCGTTCTGTAATGTGCCCACCGAGTTACTGGCCATGCAGGTTGTGCATGATAAGCAGATCAGTGTAGTAATGAGAACATGATGCACAGCTAAAGGTTTTTGTGTGTGTGTATGAGAGAGAGAGAGAGAGAGAGAGAGCGCGAGCACATTCCATCAATGCTGCTGGCAGTCTATGTGTGCCGTGAGAGAAAGAAAGAACCACTTGGTCTGCTTCAAAGTGGGCGTCTGGGTGAACTAATTACCTGCTGTCTCCTTTGGAGACGTAAGTTCAGTTGCAGATTTCGGTCCCATGTGATTTGAGTTTGGTGCTTTTGTCTTAGAGGATATTTGTCTGCTAACTCCCCTGCCCAACTTAGCACACTTGGCAATCTCTGCCCAGACCAAAGCAGGGGACACTACAAGGGTGGATGGAAGTGCCTTGGCAGAAATTTTAGGGGTCCTCTATGTGGAGCAGAAGTGCCGTAGAGATGGCTTAGGGTAGATATACACAGCACCAATCTGCACTGTGCTTGCTGCCAGTCAGTATATCACTTCCATGCACACTAAAATTAATTACCACCTGGCAGAAATTAAGCAGCGGTAACTACCCCAGCACCCAGAATACACAGGTTTACCTTAAATAACTATATCATCTTCCTTAACCTTCCTTTCCTCCATCAGTGATTGACATCAAGTTGGACAAACCACAGGATCCTCCAGCCAGTGAAGGCGGGTGTTCTTGCTAATACAGAGCGCAGGATTGGTCAGCTTCATTTGATACCACACGCTTGTTGTGTTGCTTCCTATTGGTTAGCTTCCTAAAGAAACAAATTGAGTTATCAGATGGGGGAGGATTTTTTTTCTCTCTGTCTCTGGGGACGGGTGGGTGGGAATATTCAGATCACGTCACTCTTAACAGCTGTTACGGAAACTTACTATTTTTTTGGTTTGGTTGTAATATATTGTACTTTATTAAAATTGACAAAAACAGTTCAACATTTAAAAAGGAAAGTTTAAATCATGTGTATACAACTTTTTGCCAGATGAAAAGTAGTGACTTTGGTTTTTTTGGAAGGAGGTTGGTCTTTTGTTTTTGTATATTTGTAAAGTTACAGAAAAACTCCCCAGAATACTACAGTCTGGTTAGTTTCAGCATCCGACATAGGACATCGCTAGTAGAAAACTAGTCCCTGATTGGTTAAACAAAACATTAACTGTACAGTAAAAGATTTGACAGTAGAACAAATCATGCTGCAAATATACAAAATAAGTGTGTGATGTGATAGCTCTAACTATATCTCCATATCGCCATATCTAGATTTAGAGCAGGGGTGGGAAAACTACGGCCCGCAGGCCGGATCTGGCCCATGAGCCGTTTTAAGCCGGTCCGCAAGCCGTACCATGCAGCTTGGCCCCGCTCCGACCAGGGCGCTGGGTCGGGGCCGCATCACACGGCTCATCTCCACTCTGGCCGGGGCGCTGGGTCGGGGACAATACCATGCGGCTCAGCCCTGCTCCAGTACTCCAGCCGGGGCACAGGGTCGGGGCTGCACCACGTGGTTTGGCCCTGCTCCGGCCGGGGCCTGCACCACACGGCTCCCGGAAGCCATGGCATGGCCCCACTCCGGCTCCTCTGTGCTCCAGTGGCCCCCTCCTGTGCTCCAATTGGAACTGCAGGGGCGGTGCCTGTGGATGGGGCAGCCTTCAGAGCCACCTGGCAGCACCTCTGCGTAAGAGCCAGAGAAGGGACATGCCGCTGCTTCCAGGAGCCGCTTGAGGTAAGCGCACTCGGAGCCTGCACCTTTGAGCCTCTCCCCACGCCTCAACCCCCTCCCCCAGCCCTGATCCCCCTCCCGGTCTCTAAACCCCTCAGTCCCAGCCCAGAGCACCCTCCTACACTCATAGACTCATAGACTCATAGACTTTAAGGTCAGAAGGGACCATTATGATCATCTGGTCTGACCCCCTGCATGTTGCAGGCCACAAAGCCGTCCCTACCCTTTCCCTTGACTCTGCTGTTGAAGTCCCCAAATCCTGTGGCTTAGTGACTTCAATTGGCAGAGAACCCTCCTGCTAGCGATCCCTGACCCATGCTGCGGAGGAAGGCGAAAAACCTCCAGGG